CCCCAAAACCCCAAAACCCCAAAACCCCAACTGAGAGGTAAATTGTTAATTGAAAATGGAGAAAGTTGTTGCTCGGGAGAAGCAGGTTTTGGAAAGAGAGGAGATACTTAGTGAGAATTGGAGGACAGGCAAACCTTCTACTTGGTCGAAGTGATGGAAGTTTACAGGCAGAGAAGCTTATTTTGAGAGATTGTAAGTAATGGTGGGATTAGGATATAGGTCGATCAGGAAATTAATACTGATGTATCTTCCACCAGAGATGAGGTGGGAGAAATGGGTGAAGAAGTACTCAAGAGTGGAGTTTCAGTCAGGTATCGATCATTATTCTTATACTTTTATGAATAATCCTCCGAATCCTAGAGTGCAAATACTGCAAATATCTAATTCTGTGTATGATACTCTCCCTTTATCTCCATTAGTACCAGCAAGGATGAAAAATTTCTGAAATCGGAAAACTTCATGAAATTTGCTAAACTTCAAGATAAGTGAAAGGATATTAATCAAAACATTCTTCGCTCTCCATTCGTCTACTCAGATCACCTTTGAAAAATGCACTCTCCAGCCCATTACAAAATTTCCAAAAACCCAATGTAGAATCTTTCATGTAAAATTGGTTTTCCTTTCAAATACTTCTCCAAGCGGGGCTGACTTCAGTGCTGAAAGCTCAGGCTTCAGATCTGTGCTAGAGATGATCAGTGCGACTAATCTTAAAGGGAATATAGACTGGCTGACCATTGTTCCTTGAAGGGACAGAGAGAGGTTGAAGGAGGTGGTACTGGAGCTTGAACTGGAGGGGATAAAGATTGAGTGTGCAGAGGAGGGAGAGAGATTGGAGAAGTTAGAGATTTAGGTGTGAAGTATGACGAGGAAGGAATATTGGGAGATTGTAGAGCCTGAATGCCATGAAATTAAGACAATAATTCCATTAATAACCAATCAGCTATATTTCACAACTTCATAACCCAATCAATCCATCTCTAAAAATCCCCCTTTAACCAACCCTCCCAATAAAATTTCCAAAAACCACCTTCAATCTCCCTCTCCCATCCCGGGGTTTTGGGGTTTTGGGGTTTTGGGGTTTTGGGG